CAGGTGTATGTGCCGGCGTCATCAGGATAGGTGGGGTTGAGAGACAATGAGACCACTCCGAAATTATTGAATGTCTGCAAAAGGTGGCTAGTATCAGCCCATACGGAGAGATAAATTGAGTCACGCGCATATGGTACGCGTGCGGTCGCGATACGATTGACGCCGCTCATACAATCTATCGAAGTGATCTTGTGGCACCAACTAGCATCCAGAGTGCTCCTTCTCCAAACGTGTTCTCCGGAGCTACGTCCCATTAGCGGCATCGCGACCGCCCGCTTCCCAGATGTGCATCCTCTACACGTTAATTTTTCAAAAGCTCGCAACCTACCTGAATTCTGTTGGCATTCGGCAGTGCGTGACCGTCCTTGAGCCAGCTGACTCTCAGAGAAGGATCGTTTACAGGGCTAATACGAGCCTCAAAGAACGATCGGCCCAGCTCTTGGTCGCAGTGGAAAGGTTGTAGCTAGAAATAATTCCATTTCAGGGACGAGAAATGGTTCAGCGCTTCCGAGTGCGGATTTCCTGAGCCAGTACCTGTGTAAGGAATTTGGGAACCAAGTCCTGTTTCGCGTGGCTATACTGAATTTCACGCACGTCGTCAACGTCAAGATCACGATTGTGTTCATATTTGTGGAGATCGACACGAGCTGAAAGTGATCTCATAAGACCACACTTGCAGCTGAAGAAGTCAGTTAAGTAACTCACGATGTACAATGACGGTAGCCTGATTCTCGGATTCACCGAGTTTGTTGATAGCTCGGCAGGTGAACACGCCGCTGTCATCTTTGGTTGAGTTCAGGATGTCCAGAGTGGCAAAGCCGTGATTCAGGGTTTGACGGCATCTGTCATCTGCAAAGAGAAATGTTCTAGAGGTATCCGGAGAAGGAATAACCGAACACCTTACTTTTCATTAGTTCTCGCCCGTTCAGGTACCAGACAACAACGAGATTCGGATCATTGAGCGGTGTGAGCTTGGCCTCGAGGTGAATCGGCTGTCCTTCGAACAGCTCGTGAGATCGCAAATCAGAATGGAAGTTAGGGAGATCTGAAATACAGCCATAAAGCGAGTGGGCGAGAGTCTTTGGCTCCCGTGGTGCACGCCTCGCCGATCGCATGTTCGGAGACAGCCTACTATTACGTCTTTCTGAATGACGCGCCCCTTCTCTTCATGTTCCTGAAGGGTGGCGGGAAAATGAGGAAACACAAGTAGATTGTTCCGGCACCATGGTTATCGTGAAAAGACTTGTCGTCCGCTGAACTTACCAAGTTGGATTCCTGGAGGTGCGCGAGTGCTTCTTGATTGGTATGCTGTGCCGAAACTGTTGCCGAGGGTGGGTTGATCCACTGTTGGTGTGACCTAAAAAGACATCAGGAATAGATGACTTGTTTTCAAAGTCGGACACAGGGTATACTCGAAATCCCTGAGATCGGTCAGCGGCCTCATGTTTCACTTACCTGAAGTGTCTAGGTCTTTCGTGGATATTGTTCTTGACACAATTGTTGTCGTGTCTCTGTCCAACACAGAACAAGATGACAGTTGTCCCAGACTGGAATATTCCACGAGTAACCAGTTCCGTGCCATGTTCAAATGCCACGCCTACTCTGTCTCAGGGATAAGGAGTGTATGTACGCAGCTGAGTCTATTTCGTTATACTATGTACGCTGCGCGAAAGTTTAGTGCGATTGACATAGAGCGCCTGCAGGGCTTACACCCGCTGACTTTATGACACTCGATTGAGACAAACCCTTATTGACGGCGCGCCGTTTTAAGGCATATACTCGCGTCAAGCAGCAGTTTCAGCGTTATGCGTGGCAAAGACAACACCTTTTCTCAAACACAACGCATGGCAGACGGCTGCCTAAGGGACTTCGATGCTTCTGAATGCTAACGCCACTTTTATGTCACCACCAGTCGTCTTTTCGGGCATGTTTGCCCTTAATGAATGCGGTCTTGGCCGTGCGAGAGCCAAAAGTGCACGCACGGCTATTCACTCGAACAACGGAAGGATAGTATGGAACATGGCTGAAAATGCGAGCGATTTTTTCCACCTTACTCCGCGATATTCAGGCGAATGGAAGGAGGAGGCAGAGACTTGTAATCGTCTTGCCTTCCTTATTGGCTCCCTTTCTTACGTGTCATCTTGGAAAGGAGGGCGCCCCATCGAGGAAGATATCATGGCTACTACTCTCCGTCTCCTCCCTCGCCCATCTAGCTGTTGCGTAACAAGTCTTTTAAAGGTATTCTCGTTATCGAAAGTATTTTCGATAGTAACGCAGAGGTACTCACCCATCACATTCAGAACCACTGAGCTGCGAGCTTCTCCCAATGGATTGACCAAAACCACTGTGTACTCTCCCTGAAACACATGATATCAGTAATGCAAGTATCCAGCCTGACGTGCCCGTTCACAGTGCAATACAGTACCTGATCGAATACCGTAACGGGGTTAATTTCAAGGATGGCGAGCCCTTTCTCGTTGATGGTCGTGACGCGAGATGAGAGCACAATCGGCTTACCATTCAACAACCATACCACCTGTGATAGATCATTAATTGGATGGATACCCATGAGGCTACTAGACAGTTTCCACTCACTTTAATGTTCGGGATCGTCAGCTGGTGAGTATTTGAACTCGAAGCGAGCAGTCTGTCCTTCGATCAGGTTCAATGGCGGCAATTGGCCAGCAAATGCCGGAGCAGATTTTGAAGCTGCTCTATCCTGCATTTCATTGACTGGTACAGGGGTCCTGAAACAAGTACCGTGCATAATCATCAGTGACCGAATTCTGCCGCGTTCTCACCTGGCCATTCGACGATCGACTTTTCTGAGGGTGACCTGTTCACGGTGTGCGGGGCCAAGTTTCTGACGACTTTGTACGACAACTCGGCCCTGAAATAGCGATTCGTAAGGTTATTGCTCTAGCTTCCTTCATGCTTACTAGGGATGGACCCGAGGTTGAAGTGCCCTCTCTTGATGGGACCTGTGAACCTCAAATTAGCTTTCGAAACCTGCAAAGCGGAGCAGAACGAAGCTAGGGAGTTCTTTTTCGTGTGGTCTCATATGGGTTCAGTTTAAGAAAGCAGGTTTGATGGAGGCCCGAGAATGTGCGTTCGATAGTATGGTCCCATCAAAAGTAACCGCTTTGTTCTGGGGACCAACTCCAGTTAGAAAACTAACGTTGAGCGCGGTGGTGCCGTGTTTGTTAATAGCATCGCAACGATACCATCCGCCTTCGGCTAATGTCGCATTTTCAATGAATAGTGTGGTTTCATTTCCTTTGTTCTCGATCCTGAAAATAAAGAGGGCTACGGTCGCTACTGGCTAGACAACTCGCCTTACTTCCTCCTCAAAAATGTACGAAGGAGAAAAGTACCTGTATGGAGGTGTACTCGAGAGTTCCTCGTTATCTTTGAACCATTTGTACGTGATTTTGTCGCCGGTTGCTCGGCAGAATAGTTTTACCGAATCGCCCTCGTAAATGGTGGTTGATTGGAATTTTCCAGTGAATTCCGGGGCATCTGGAGGTCTTGCCTCTAAAACATTGAGGCATTAATCACGATAATGTACTGCTGGTATTTTAGGCAATGTTGTTGTGAATCCGTGTTGGAGGCAGCCTCGGAAACCACAGTTACTCGCCCCGTAGGGTTGCGATATTTGTAGTGTGTTTTCCTTGCTTTGCTGAATCTATAGAATGGGAGGACGTTACACAATGTAACTTTTTTGCCCGGTTTTGCTCCTATAGGTTGTCGCTCCAAGACAGGCACTGTACGTTGAACGCGAAGAGTACGCGTAGCAGCTTTGATACACGGGGAAGTTGTCTAACTTGTAATGAATTAGCGCTGAAGTGTGAAGAAAAGCAAAAAAGTAAAGCGGAGCGGCTCGGGAAAAATATGTCGAGTATTTCCTTCAAGTCAGGATGATGGCGCGTGCTCGTGCCCATGCCATCTTAACTAAGAAGCGAGCGTTGCATCAGACGCCATATATGGCGACCCCCGCGTGCGGAGCTGATTTCGTCCAGTTAAGCACTCCTGCGTCCACTGGTCGCACTTCGAGTATCTCAACGCAAAATCGGCACGTGTGCACTCCAGAGCATGACCGAATCGATCTTCAATGTCATCGGTTTAGATACACTCAAACCGAGGTGATGCGGTCACCTAGAGTCAGTGTCGTTCGTTTTTTGCGCAAGGACTGGTCCTAGATTCTGGTACAAACTCGTTTGTGTTCACGCTTGTGATCAGTTCGCCAGGAACTAGCTTCATATTCCAAAATGACTGCCTTGGGCCACTTTTAGCGCTTTCCGCTTGGACATTGAGGTCCTAAGCTGCCAAGGTATTGCGAAAATGACGCTCGTAGCCGGCGCTGTACTCCGTACCAGAATGCACTGCATGCCGTAGGAGGGCTGCCGTCATATCCGGTAGCACGCAACTGAGGATCACAAGGCCCTGCTGTGATGACCACTTATTCACTGCGTTCCCATAGTTCCCTCATTCCCAATCCACTAGGCCACAAGCTGGACCATTTTTTTCGTCATGAATATCCCGCACTCACGCCGGTTGATAGCACAACTCTTCCTAATGGGTTTGGGAGGGGTGCATTTAAAAGAACTTCCTGCAGAACTGGGACTACCCTCAAGTGGAATTGTCATACTTCAAAACAGTTCACTCACTCGCGTAGTTCCTTTCCCGTTTAGGCAGAGGAAAGCCATCACTAGCCGCCCTACCATAAGTACATCTTGGTAGTTCTCACTGGAGCCAGGTAAAAATCTTCAAATGCCCCCGCCCTCTCGCATATGGCGCGCACACGACACTATGTAAAACAGCGTGTCCCGACGCAGTTGTAAAAGGATTACGGCAACCGGCGATAGAACTGGATGCATTAGCCGCTCAAACCAAACACCATAATCAGGAAGGAATTACTGACGGAGTACGTTGAGCATGAAGCGGCTTTGGAACGTTCCACCGCTGTTTCGTGCAATGGCTGCGTACGTGTTCGCGTCATTAGCATCAACCTGAAAACCAAGAGAAATTCTGGTTGAGGAAAAGATAATGAACAGAAGAGGAAGATGAAATCGAGTAGTGAATAAAGCACTCACCTTCTCAATGATGAGTTTACTGTCGCCAGCGCTACCATGTTCGATTTTGAATTTGCCCTCTGATTTTATGGGGGTACCGTCAACAAGGCACCATTCCAAAGTCGGTGGCGGTACACCAGTGGTCTGAAATGGAACTATATGATTAGCCTGGATTGTAATAAATGCTAGAAAGCTCGAGAAGATGAAGCTTTTTCCTACTGATAGAGTAGGACTTCATTCCATACACAAGCTTTCGGAGAGTGTCTGTAGCCCCCAAGAGTAGATTGTGGAGAAGAAAAAGGCTTGCGAACGAGCGAATACGTGGTCAAAAATACCTTGCAAGTGAATACGACTGTCTCTCCGGCTTTGGCAGCGACTGATTGAGGATGTACGAGGAACTGGGGCGGACGCGACTGAAACACAGGAGGATTGGCCTCAAAAACTAACTGCTTTCTCTCGTAAAACCTAACTTACCGGCACTAGAGATGCGCCGTGCTCGTGTGAATGTCCAGGGATAATTTTGGTACGAGTGGCACTTACAGCTGACTCTCCATTGGCCATTGGACCAGATGTTGTCTGTGCACCCTGCAGAACAGCTTTTCATTCACTGATATTCAGCTAGATATTCATCACTGCAGTGCATATCTGAGGGCAAAAAGGGGCACTTCTAACTTGCCCGGCGACAGCTGCGACGTTCTGGACAGAAAATAAATGAATATGAGAGAAGAATCGGCACAGTAATACGCAGCCGCTGGAACTACTTGGAAAGACCTCTACTGTTACCCCCCCCCCTCCTCTATGAAGTAAACTTACCGGTGTTGGCTTTAGTGCTGGCATATTTTGAGTTCGTTGACTTTCGATGTGTTGTTGGTATTGATTAAATTGACGGAATTGATGGTCTGATGGAACAGATCGATGGTATTCTTGGAAATGCTGAAAAGTGTAGGTGTTCCCATTGATTACTACTGGAATACAATGAGCCTTTCCCAGAAATACAACCTCTTAAACAAAAACTAAAACAGATTGAATATAGGGCGTCTGGTAGGACCGGGGGTTGCTTGAGGGACCTCTTCCGCGGAAGAAGGGTTAGTAATCCCGAAAGACAGCAGGGAATGGGATTGACTAGATCCTTATCGGGTCCGCGAGTCCTGATTACTAAGCAGTTTCTAGGGGAATACGCCATGCATTCATCCAACGCCCAGAATCTTGCACATAAGTGGAGCGAAGCTATGGTCTTTCCTCCTAGAAATTTCCTGAAATGAACGAAGAAGTGAATCTCAAAAGCTAGCCATGTAAGAACGTCGGGGAGTGACTCGGGCGCAGTTCGGCTTGAAGGAGGGGGGGGTGGGATTTGCCTTCCCAGACCGTGACGGTGCAGGAGCTGACACAGTGGTTCTCGAACGTTTCACTGGACCACCACTTCCATTGCTATGCAGCTAAGTTTCACAGATCCCTCTTGATAGCTGCGATAGGACAACGGGGAAGCAGCGAATGTGCAAAAATTGAACACCCCCCCACCATCCCCCCTCCCATCTGAACTGGGCCCTGATTAAAAGCCTGTATGGTCCTCTTGTCGTATAGTTGTACAATCAAGTTTCAACAGTGAACTGTACAAGAAATGAAATCATGAATGGTCTCAGGGCACAACCTTGAGGAATCTTTCACTATGAGGGGGGAGGCTATTCAAGTCTGTTGAAAAGGGGTAGAACTAGTTTGCTAACAGTGAGAAGGAGGTTTAATTGATATTGAAGGGTGTGAGAGCCAGCGCCCCCCCCCCGCTCACGCTCGAGGGTGAGTCGAAACGCCAGTGGCTCTGGAGAAACAGGAAGGTTGGCTCACAGACTGCAGTCTGTTCCAAGCGCACGTAACCCTGAGGATTGATGAGCAGTGTAAACAAGTCAACGCAATTGAATAAACCCAGAAGGGTGGAGCTCAGAACTGACCCTGGGCGCAGGTTGTGGTGGATGTTGTTGAGCAAACGCTTGACGTTCGTATAGGACTTCTTGTCTAGCTGGAGGAACGTACTGCTGCGCTTTACGTGGATCTGAAAATCAAAACAAATCAAACAAATCGGCACCGTCTGGCAAGTATTGGGAAAGTCACGTTCCTGAGTGAGATGAGGGGAAAAGGAGGAAAAAGGAATGATGGATGTTGCCGACACTCACATGGATCTTGATTCCAGTACTGCTGCTGCGGTTGCTGCTGCTGTGGCGGATACTGTAGTTGATACGGTTGTGTCCACTGAAACTATTATTAATTTCTGATTAATTCCTGATAGAAGATGATACTTCTTTATATTTCGTGAACCCTGTTTGCCCTCATGCAGGCCCCGAGGAAGAGGAAGTTGAGGAGAACGTGAGTGGAGAGGTATAGGTTCATTGTTACCTAGTTAATCACACGTTGGATGTTCCAGGAAGACCACCTGGGAGGAAGTGCTTTACCTCACATTACTGCAGTATGTCAGTCGTGAAACGCTGACGGAAAATAAGCAAAAAGTCTCTAAAGCTTCCCATGAAGACACAGGGCGATAGTTTACCAGGAGCAGTGATAACCACGGCACGGCGTACGTTGGGGATCCCCTGCAAAGGAGGACGTATTTGGGCGCTAGAGGGAGGTATGCCCTTGCTTGAAAGTGTTCCTCAGTTTTCGACTTTATTCGCTGTCTCTTGTTCCAAGAGTGCTATTAACCCCTCTCAACTTCCCGCTTGGCGGCAGATTTTTGGGGAAAAATGTGCTGAGTCTCGA